ATTCAACAAAGTTATATTGATTTGAAAGTAAATCCTATGAGTTCTTGATGAAATTTGTTTGAAATCTTATAGGTTCTTGAAGTTGAAGTTTCTTGAGATTGATTCATGTATTTAGGTGTGAATTCGAGTTGAATCCTTCATATATTGAGGGTTCGGTCGATTCTAAGTGTTTGGGGAAAGAACCAAGTGAAATTAGAGGGTTTAGAGTTGAAAAACGAAGAAGAAAAATTGAAATTTTCTGGGGAAGGGGCTGGGGCACCGCGCCTCTCAGCGCGCACCAGAACAGTCTTTGAATGTTGGGCTTTGGGGCGCCGCTCCAGCCAGAGCGCCCCAACTTGGTCTCTGAATTTCAAGGGCTGGCGCCTTGCACCTCTCAGAGCGCCAGGGATGCTAGTTCTTCCCATTCTTCCCCCATCTTTCCGTACTAATTCCTTAGCAACGTACCTATGTTTTCTAGTTGATTCCAACACTCTATGGTACATCTAAACATCATGAAATCATCCATAAACATGAGATCATGAACCTTGAATCCATAATTCAATTCAAGGAAAGTTAAGAGTCAAGTCTAGAAGTTAAGAAGCAAGTCAAGAGAAGTTCATAAAGTTTTCAAAAGTCTTTCGCAAACGTTTTAACTTTGTCTTAAGACTTAAGTTTCAAGTTGACTAAAGAGTTAAGAGTTAAGTTCATTTCTTCAAAGATTATACGGGAACTAAGTATTCCCAAAAGTTAGAAATGTTTTCATAATTGAGCAAGAAAGGGAACACCGATTCCAAGAGAGCTTTTAAGCTAAGTTTTAGATAATTATCTCAAACCAAAGAAAGAAGTTTTGTTCTTAAGACATATGAGCTAAGTATATTTTGGGAGTAGTATTGAGCACCGATATGGGGATGCGAGTTTATAATAACTCAAGTCTCCATAAACCATGTAGCCATAAAGAATTCTAGAAAATAGTATGAATTCGTTTTTATAAAAAAATCAGCGAAATAAAGAATTTGACTGGAGAATAAGAAGAAAAAGAGAAGAAAAAAATGGGAGAGGGGTTCAACTTGACGTGGGAGGTGAAGAAAAAGAAAGAAAATGGAGGGATGTATCACTTGAAAATGGGGTGGAAGATGAAATGGAATTTAAGATGAAATCAAAATTAAAATAAGTCAAAAAGTAAGAGAGAGATAAAGAAAAAACTTAAAATGAGCAAAAAAAATACATTTTAATTAAATTAACACGTGTCATATAATGATTGGTGTGTGAACACACTTGCTTCTTAAAATCTGGGGTTGATCGAAAAATGATATAATAATATATGTTCAAAATTGTTTAGTGGGGTAATAGGACGGTTGCAAAGTTAAAGTATCTTTTCGAAAATTCAGGACAACTTTAGTGGTGACTTGTGCCTTCTATTCTCTTTCTTAGTTGAACGAAGATGATAGTTAAATAGAAAAATGAAACAAGTTATAGTTGGAGTTGTTTTAATACATAAATATATGATAGTTTATAGATCCATGTGGACCCACATGTATAAGTCAGGGTGTACATATACCTGTTAACTTCAAAAAAATTATGTTTATATATATATATATATATATATATATATATAAATGATTTTGAGAAACTGACAGTTAAGTAACAATGCACCCTATAGAGAGCTCAGAAGTGCACCTTCGATTGTTGTTTTAAGCCAATGCACCCCATCAGTGCGACCAGGGGTCGATCCCGGCCAGAACCCCTTTTCACTGTTTTTATTAGTATATTTTTTGGATTCAAAGAGCTTATTTATAAAGTCAAAATTGTGTGGTAGGAAATTTGAAGAACTCATGACTATTCAATAAAACAAATCCACCTTGATTATTGAGCTATCACACACAATTATTTTAAGAAAGCTAAAGTCTATATATTACCTGAAAGGCATAAGCTCATATTATAACAAAGTAAAATTTAGGTATTAGCTTAGATTTCATATTTGATCAACATATTTGATATTTCAGGTTTGTTCCATTAATCGTCATTAAGATAATATAGGTGCACCCACACTACAATCTTCAAATCTGAAGTTTGTCTTTAATAGTTCAGATAGTAAAATAGAAAAAAACTTATAGTTAAAATATAAAACTCGCAGAAAAACAATATTTATAAAATCAATTGAATATCCATGTCAGCTAAGAGATATATTACATTGGGTGTCTCGATGCACGTGTAGATCACGTGAGGAAGATGTTAGTTAAGTTGGTTATTCAAGAATAATGAATGTGATGACACCGAAGCCCACTCTTTGCCCTCCCAACTTTTTCTTATCATTTCCTCCAAAAAAAAAAAAACTAATCCTTCTTTCTCTTTTCAATTCTTCCATAAATGATAAAATTTATGAACCCTAAGAAAGAAATTTAGAAGTTGAAGAAGGATCAAGAGAGAAAAATAGAATCCAAGATTTCACTAATTACTAGGTAAAATGTTTTAATTCAGACAAAGATACTCAGTTTCTTACTTATTGGTAAATAAATTTTTTCGTTTGGGGGTTAATATTAGATTCTTGATTCACTAATTAGGTGAAATGTTTTAATCCAGATAAATCCCACCAAAAAATTTCATTTTCTTGGTTTTTTTTATCAATAGGGTTCCATTTTTCTTGGTTTAATCTTGAATAGTTTCACTTATTAGATAAGATGTTTTAATTTAAGATAAATATCAAGATCAACATGTATTTTTTTTAATTGATAATTAGTGTTTGCTTTTGAGACGATGGTTTATCAGAAATAACTTTTCTAACCCCCACAAAAGGATAAGCTCTGGGTACATTCTACATCCCAGAGCTTATTTGAGGGATTACACGAGGTATGTTGTTGTTGGTTATTAGTGTCTGCCTAAACCTTTGATTTTTTAAGTTAATTTAGTTAACATTAATCTTGTTGATAACATGTGATTTCTAATTTTTATTTTATTTTAGAGAAGCTTTTTGTTGGGAGGTTTATAGATTCAGCTTGGGAGAAATGGTTGAAAGGAATAGCCGAGACCGCCCCGGTAATATATAAGGAGGGCATTGACAACAAACTGTTGTTAGTATTAGGCAATGACTCTGTATTACTGGATTCGCGTATTATCTTATTCTTCAATTCTTACTATTGCCTGTTGCTTCTTTGCTTTGTTCATGTTGCTATTTACTGTCGTTATTTTAATCTTTCTGTCCTGCTTTGATTGAACTCCTTTGAGTCGAGAGTCTATGGAAAACAACCTCTTTACCCCCCACAAAGGTAAGGGTAATGTCTAGGTCTCAATGTACATCGATCTTACCCTCCTCAGACCCTTGTTGTTGTTAATGATTCTGTATTAGTCATTATTTTCGTTTCTTAAATAACTCACTCTTTTGTTAGACATCTGATTTCATTGCAGTAAGACATAAGAAAATATGAATATATGATGGAATTAATATGGACTTAGCTAAGATTAGGACACGATGAGCGAAAGATCCATCTCGGAGATATTAATCAGTTGAATTGAGTGCTAACTGTTGTTGTTTCACTTACATTTAGTCCAGTTTTGTTTGTTTGATTAAAGACTTTTATGTAAGTGTAGGATTTAGTTAACCTCTAGTTCAATAGCATCTTAAATTTTGCAATAATACGACAGATTGTTTCTCAGTACTGAAATGATATGGAATTCATATATCCGACCCCAATTTATTTAGGATTGAGAAGCAACCGATTGAACATAGAAAAAAGTTTATAGAATAAGCAGATAAGCGTTATGAGATGTTTCTGTCGTTACTTTGTTTCACTTTCTAGAAAGGTAGCATGGTACAGCAAGAAATAGAAAAAGATAACATATTAGTAATATATCGTGGAAAAAAAAACCAGCTCGGTGCATGAAGCATCTCTCGTTCATACAAGGTCCAGGGAAGGGCCGCACCCAGGGGTTTATGCGGTGTAGGAAGCCTACTCTGCCCGAAGCATCAGCGATTGATTCCACGGCTAAAACCTGTAATCTATATATAGGTCACTTGGAGACAACTTTAGTGTTGCTCCAAGACTCCCCTTCGGAACACATTAACATGTCTAACCTGTTTTTTTGTTAGACAGCAGTCCAGTCTAAGAGGCCGAATAAACGTCTATACTTTCTCCCATGGGTATTTCTTAACAAAGTTCACTTTTAAGTGCATTCTATCAAGTCCTGGATCAAAATTTTCATTTTTATTGTTTCATGGTCATCAACATTTGGCCTAAATCTTAGAACTTTGGGTAAATTCACAATTATGATTCTTGTTGCTCATCCTCATTTGCTGATTTCGTTCTGTCTTCCCCTTTAGAGAAACTTTTAGTAGGTGGTTGTAGATTCTGAGTTGGCCAAAGGGTGAAATTTGTGGTTCCACTTCCAGCCATATTCATTTGAGGCAGCTCCATTTGTAGGAAATAATAATACTTAATTGGTGTTTGCATTAGTTAATGATTCTATGTTACAGATCGTTGTATGGAGATGATGCCCGTTTCATAAATGACTTTTGTTCGTTGGTTTTTTTGCTAATGAATTTCACTGTCCATGTAGAGGTGTATTCCGCCTTTGTACAATTAAGTCTACAAGCCTTAGAGTTAAATCTGTTAAGTTTGAATCCTAGATCCGCCTTCGTTTCCATGTGCATTCTATTTTCAACTGACGTAGGAGAAGGCAACCATCGAGACTCAGGAGGTACTTCTTTGCATGATATGTTGCTCGTTGTGAGTGTTGCGTTGCTTCCTCAAACAATAACTTAATCTCATCAGTGGTGTAGACACATGTAGTGGAGGGTGGCCAGTCAAACACTCTTCATCGAAAAATTATACTGTATAGAAAATTTCATGAAGTATATAGGTCAATTTTTTTTTTTCATATGTATATATTAATTCTTGGACACCCTTAACGAAATTTCTGGCTTCAACAGTAATCTCATCTTTAATCTTTTTCATATATTTACATTGACTGGACATTGTTTGTGCATCTAAACAAGTTGATGGTTTCTACAGGTGATTTTTAGCTTTAATCCAGTCATGAGCCCTAAATATGGAAGTGGAAACCGTAATCATTCTCGAATAGATGCAGTGGTAACCAAAAGTGAAACTGAGACCAAGTCACCAATAGTCTTTCTCCGGGATTCTAATCAGGAGAGTAAAAGTAGAAAAAGCTCGGATTCTATCTTAAATGATAGTGTTTCAGGGTCAAGTAAAAGTTCAGAACTTTCCTATTCCACATTTTCATCCTCGTCCGGTTATTCCTCTGATGATTTCATATTAATGAATCCAAAAATAGCATCCAACTCTATCTCATCAAATGTACCATCTTCTAAATTTCCTCTGGATGCCAAACCTTTATCTCAAGCGGACTACAATCATTTGAAACTGAATACATCTACAAGCTCCACCTCACAGGTTTCAGACGTCACTGATGAATCGTTATTGCCAACCGTGTCAATTACAAAATCTCCTTTTATCCAAGTGATGGACAGACAAGGAGGTTATGATCCCAACAGAGTTCCATCTTCAATTTTCGAAAGCAAATCCTCAACACCTAAAGAATGGAGTGCTGCCTCTGAAGAGTCATTATTTAGTATCAACGTCAGTCTTTCGAGGAAGTCAGCAGAACTACGCATGTGTGTGGAATCGGAAACATGTGAAGAAATTAGTAAGTCTGGGAAGCTAATCAGTAGACACTCATCACCTGTAAAAGGAGGAGAACATACGGAAAAGAGTTCTGTATTTGATACAGAAAGGGGCGTGGTTGATCGAAGCAACCTTATTGAAGCAGGAAATCAACATAAATCAATTAAGAAACAACCACATTTTGAAGAGGAAATAAAGTTAAGAGGGAACAGAGATTATTCATCTGCCATTAGCCATTCCGAAGGGAATGGAGGGCTTAGAGACTCCTACAACCATTTCAATGGTAATGATACGGCTTTACCTTTTTCGACGTGAGTACCAGTTCCTATCTTTTTTTTCTAATATCATCTGCATTTAGCATATGTACATGTTCTTCTCTTTTCTTTTCCATGTCACTGGTAACCTGTTGCTTCATTAATAATTACGCGGATGTGCATTAGAGTTCACCTAACTTGTCATTCGTATAAATATGTTTGAGTCTCATGTCTTCAACTTAAATGCTTTACATTAAAGATTATTGGTGATCTTATTTTTTCCCAGATATATGGAGCTTGCAATCATGCATTTTCGTGTTCACGGAATATATTTTTGTTTATTGCAGAGATAGAAAGTCCACAGAACCTCTTTGCCATCCTGCTTATTACAAAAAAAAGAAGTCCAGATGGTCGTCATGCTTCTCTTCCTGTTTTAGCTGTGGACCGTGTTGCTCTGGATGTCCAAGCTGTTCCTATAAGTGCTCAGGTTGCTTCTCTTGTAAATGGCCAAGCTTGAAATGTTGTTCTTGTAAGTGGCCAACCTGGAAATGTTGTTCTTGTAAGTGGCCAAGCTGGAAATGTTGTTCTTGTAAGTGGTCAAGCTGGACATGTTGTTCTTGTAAGTGGTTAAGTTGCTCTTGTTGTTGCCGTAAGTGGTCGAGAAAAATGGGCTGCTGCTGCAAATGATCAAGCTACTACTTTTATTGTCCCACCTAGCCTATTGACGGAGTCAAAGTTTTTGTTAAGGAGGTTCATCGTCTATATATACATAAAAAAGATTTTGACCTTGTATATAAGTGTGATTTTTCGGCCAAAGGGGTTTATTCTGCCCAAGCAAAAGTAAAGCTAAAGGCGGGTAACTACTTTTGGTCGAACTATGTATATGCATCTATGCTTCTTCTTTTTTCAAAATGCATACATATAGTAGAATCACACTTGTTCTGAATGAGTCGTCTGACTCTAGATCCTGGATTCCCCTCTGTGGCCCAAATGCACTTCAAGTGTTCAACGTCAGGATTTTCACCAAGGGGATTCAACATATAAAAAGGTAGACACATGAAGAAGTGAAGGGGATTCAAATGAGTATGTATACATAAAAAATAGTTTTGACCTTGTATATACAATGTAATGTTTCTAGAGAAAATGATTCGGATAAACCCCTTGCGCCCCTCTATCTTCGCCTCTGGCTTCATGATAACCAATCACAGGACAACATTCAATTTCTAGTGTACATATTTTTAGGTAATTGGGTATAGAGGATATATCAATTTTGAATTAAGTTGGGAAGCATGTAAATTATTCAATTGTTCCAATTTGTTTGACAATTTTCCAGGTGTATATTCTTAAATTATGCTCCTTAATAAGTCAGATTTGGCATGTATCAATTGTAATTTTTGACTGAGCATGCCTTCACTAGCCAATTTTGTATATTGAACAAGTTTCTCTTCTCAAACATATATAAACCATTCATGTTGAAAGTCTTCTCTCTCATTCAACATACCAACAAGGCATAATACATACACATGTCCTTTAATTTGACCTCATCTGATATCTATACCCTCTAACTTCGAGTGTGCACAAGCTGTATGTATTTAAACTTGAATAGAGTTGAACAAATAAACATACACATCCTACTTGGCATTCAATGTGGCAATTCACGTCCTACGTGTATTATGCCACATGAAGCGAGTGTGTGTACTTGTTGAACTTCTTACAATCTTAAGTAAGTGCATACTTGTGCACACCAAAAGTTGAAGAGCATAGATACCTGCAAAAGACATAGTTATGTATTATGCCTGCGGAGAAAAATAGGAGGTAATAACAGGGTAAATTCATTAGAGAGCACTCCACAACGAGCTGTCAAAGCACGTTAATCAGTCGTCAATCTTCAATACCTAAACCTGAGCAGTACAAGTTACAACCATGGGGATTTCATTGGCATGTTTCTCTCAAAATCAAGCTACCAAAAGAAGCAATAAAAGATCATCATCACAGTCTAATTCCTCCTCGATTTTCTAACTCAACAAGTTAACACGGGTATGGCACCCAAAGTGAAGAGTCCGAGCCACTTAGCTTGCCAACTGCTGCATAAACTCCTCATCAGCTGCACAGACCTGAAAACCTATGTCATGAAGGAAAAACTACTTCTGTAACTAATGCAGCACATAATAAATTTGTAGAAGTATCTCCAAATTAAGTTGAGAGTTATGCCATTTTTTGCATATCATTCACATCCTTAAACTCACCGTGGTAAATCGTGGCTCAGCACAGGCAGAGACAAGGTGGAGAATCAATAGACGAAACTCATTGTTGATACGTACATTGCCCACTAATGAGCTCCTGTCAATAGCGGAAGGAAGAAAGAAAACACAAATTAATGACAACAAATTTTTTATTAGTTTTCGAAGAAGAGATTTTGTATCTCATAAAAGGAGAGTAAAAACAAGGCATGAGGTATATATACCGAAATTCCTGGGCTTTTGGGAAAGAGCTGCAATGTTTCTGAATATTAGAAATGTGACCTTTGTTTCTTAGAAGAGGAGCAACTGGCTTCATTGGTCACAGTAGAGTCGTCATATTTGCTCTTTCGTGTCCCAATGCAAAGATTTTTATACAACAAACGAAATCCATAATCCCTTATATCTCCAGAGAACGATAATATAATGCGCCCATAGTCATTTGGTGTTTTTCCATTTGCTTTTGATGTATCCCATAAGCCAGCAAAAGGTACAAAGAAAAAATGAATTACGGAATCAGGTGAGTATTCACATACAAGAGATTTACTGTCGGGCTCCAGTAAGTCTAGTCTCAAGGTCATCCACAACTTCGAATCATAACACAAGGGAATCAAGTGAGTTGTCATTGTCACGTACATTAACCTGCCAGTATAACATACAGCAAATCCCAAGAAGTTATCAGCTACATACCAATTTTCAGGCAAATTGACTAATCCACTTTTACCAGTTCCCCGACGGTGGAACCAAGTTGGGATTGTCAGTGTCCTACTTGTAAACAATCTTAGTGACAACGAATCTGAAGCAGAGATGTCATGTTGCGATGATGAGATATTCTGAAACAACGAATTACAGATCGAAGACTTGCTCCAATCTGCATATATTGTATCTAATTGCTCTGGGAATTCTGGCAACTGTTTAAGCTTCTTGCAATGTGATAAGTTCAAGGATCGAAGAGAACCAAGCTGGGCTATGCTTCGAGGCAAATGATGGAAGTTATTTCTACCGAGATACAACCTTTTCAAAGAGAGTAAGCATCCAATGTCTTCTGGAATTCCTCCGTCTATTATATTGCAGCAACCGAGATTCAGAATTTCCAATGAGTGTAACCCTTCATTCACCTGAGGGAACACAAAGTACACTCCATCTTCTGATTCTTTTTTTGCAAAAGTCAAGAACTTAAGCTTGTTCAAGCAGATGATGGAAGACGGAGGACGTGAAATTAGAGTATGGCTAGCATGAAACTCCTCCAAGTTTTCTAAATCACCAATCTCTTCTGGCAATCTTTCAAGTTTTGAGCAGTAAGACACATCTAGCTTCATCAAAACTTTCAACTTACAAATGCTACTTGGAAGAGCTACAAGGTTTTTCATATCACTCAAATCTAGCACTCTAAGACGAGCTTGGTGCTGAATAACATATGATGGTAGTTCCCTTATCCAAGTTAATCCCATGCGAATCTCTAACTCTAGCTTCATTTTTCCGAGGATTTCTGGAAATTTCTCTAAACTAGAGCAACCTACTAGATCTAGAGATTTAAGAGATTCCACATTAACACGTGGAAACCTCTCAAGTTTTTCACAGTGATACAAATCTAACTCGATGAGTTTTTTGGAACATCCCAGGGAATGGTGAACCTCTTTAAGACTCGTACATCTCCTCAGATTCAGATATTCCAAATTTGGCATCCCTGTGAAATCTGGTATTCGCATCAAGCTTTTGGAGTAGCTGACATCTAGCTTTCGTAAAGACGGCAAAAACACCTATTCAGAACAGAGAAGGAGATTGTTTAATTTACTCCCTTAGATTATGAGAGTCAACAGAATATTTTGCAGGAGATTAGAAATTGTTTATTTTCATTTTTATTTGGAAATTACATGTTCAGAAACTAAAACACAAGTTTAAGTCTACACTGAATAAAACATACCAAGTTTATGAGAGTTTTTAGCATTATACCAAGTTAGAAACGGTACCTTTCTTTCGGTCCATAAATCATGCAACGAACTCCACTGGAGATCAAGATGAACAAGCCTCTGGGGTTCAAAATTTTCGGGCAATGACTTCCAAGGAAATTCATGCCAGATAAACCAACACAAGTTGTTGGGCAGGTACTCAATGGAGCCATCATGGCAATTGGAGTCATAGAGAACGTCTCCTCGATCAATCGGAGTGATGAAGCTACATATGTGTAATATCCTAAGCCTTTTCATATTTTTCATTGCCTCTTTGCTAAAGCATAGCTTTTGAATAAAAGTAAAGCAGATTCCCTCCACAGCCATGGTCCCCTGGTAAAAGGATCACGAGTCAACAAATCATAACTTCAGATGTCTTGTACAATCACTCACTAATCATGTCATGATTACATAAGATAACAGGATCGGTCAGCTTTAATTAAAAATGGCTACTTGACGAATTAGCAAGCAACGTTAGGCCAACTAAAATGGTATACTTGCAAGACTATGAAGCAACAACAACAACATACCCAGTGAAATCCTACTAAGTGGGGTCTGGGGAGGATAGAGTGTACGTAGACCTTACCACTACTTTATGGAGATAGAGAAACTGTTTCGGAAAGATCCTCGGCTCAAGTGTATCAAACCCAAGTAGAGGAAGAAGAAAACAATTAAGAATATGAAGCAAGAGGAGCAAATAATTGGAGTTGACTGCCCTATATATCTTTTGAATATGAAAACTAGAAATTGGATAGTAGTGTATTGTTTAGCCTACTTACCATATTGTCAACCATCACTTCTTTGACATCTTCAGTTTTCCATAGTCTGCTACGTTCCCCCGGATGCTTTTGCATTTTCACTATATATTGACCCATATCTTGTATTAAGTCATGCATTTGAATCTTATTATGATCAGAGATGAACACAAGAGACTTGTCGATTAGCACGCTCAATCCATATTCAGCTGGAAAATCACAACTCTCGAGGATTTGCATGACTTTTTCCTTTTCTTTTCCTCGGAAGAAACATGCAATATCTAGAAATATCTCTTGATCATTGGGCTCCAACCCATCATAACTTATTTTGAGGTTTTCAATAATTTCTGAGCCAGAGTTTTCCCTTATTCGGTCGAGAGCACTTCTCCACACAATTATATCCTTCTTGTATAATAAAGAACCCCACACTTTCAGGGCTAAAGGATGACCTTTAGCATGACTTACTATCTCCAACGTTAGATATTCAAAACACTCATCTGGAACATTTTCCATGAAAGCATATTGATTGAATAGTTTAATTGCATCATGGTCAAGCAGTGTTTCCATTTCATGTAG